AAATTACTTGAAACTTGACTATATTTTTTCAATATGATAACTTTTTCAAGTTTATTTATATGAACATAAGCCAATAATATAATTAACCTTGTATTTTTATCTAAGCTACAACAGCCTGTGAGTATTAGATAACTTAGATACATATGCACATGTACTTTATAAATTGTTACTGGAAAATGCCTTCACATTTTCTGTGAGATTAATTATTATTAATCAGAACAACTTGTCTTACTCTTCATCTTACTTGTTTTAGAGAAAGTATGATACTGAATTAGCTTAGTTAAGGTTTGCCACAGTTTGTTTCTTTATAAACAAACCCTTATAATGAAAAATCAACTCGGTATTTATTTTTTTCAATTGTAATCTTACTTTAAGAAACCTTGACATAATAATATTAGAGAAAAGACATTGAATCAGACTAAATGTAAAATAATTTATCTGGTTTTACAGCACACTATAATAAATTATTATTCATAGATGATGACAGTTTCCCCTATTGCAAAAAGTTAACCACATATTACCTAAACAATTTGAATTTGCTAATGCAGTGGAATGGTGTTGCAGAAACAAGCTGTTGGGCAACAGATGAGGTGTTTAGCACCTATATTTTTGGTTTTCAAGGCATTCCTCATCATTCTACAGTGCAATGCTGCCATGAGTAAACATACGGAGAAATATTCTGGAGAAAAAATTCTAAGCAATGTAAAGTCAAAATTTAAATCATACTTGAGCCCAATCCAGAGAAATGTACTAGTATTGTCATTTCACTGTTTCTCAATTTAATTAATATATACTACAAATAATTTCATAGCTAACATGTTTACGACTGCATGAAATTACTTCATTATTGGTTTACTTATGCTTCTTGTCTTAATAGTTTCACAGTAACATAATCTAAAGGCTTTTATTTTTTCTTAACTTCTTTCACCACTTTTACCTTCTTACTTGCTCCAACTCGTAGATGGTAGTTCTTCTGGCCCAGAGCGAAGCAAAACTGTTATTCATGTTGATTCAGGTAGGTTGATGCTCTCATGTGAATATCTCTGTTGACCTTATCATTGATGCTGTTTCTAAATCTAGAAGTACCTTATTAATATCATAGAACATTTTCAATTTCTTAAACTGCTAAACATAGTGCAAAATCTATTTTTATTTTTTTTGTGGTGATTAGTTTTAAAAATGTTTGCAATGTTTCTTTAAATATTTTTGTATATTTCTTACTTTAAGCTGCAATTTTTATATTAACCCTTTGCATGTTATTACAATATCAAAACAATTTTGCATCAGTTCATTTCGTTTTTGAAAATAAATATAGCTATAAACTTCTTTTATATCATAAATTTAAAACTGAAAAATTGCTACTTATATATTAAGTGCATCAGTTTATATATTGTTTAAATATTTTTTCTTTGCTTTGTTGTTCTGATAACAGTGAAATGAATGTTCTTTGTTTGAAAGTAAAAAAATAATACTTTAAATTTCTATTATTCCTCTAATACAAAGTTTGAATTTACTAAAGATTAACTGATAAAGTATTCCAATTCTTTATCACAGTTACGAAACTTTTTAATACTTTGCGGGAGGATTCTTGTAGTAGAACCATTCAAATATGTATATATCTATTTATACTGAATCTAATATGGAAATGTTTTGAGTGATAATACAGAGATCTTTTAGTTCTAGAAACTGGTGTTGGGGTTTTTTAGGCTTTCTATCTAATTCGAAAAATATACCAATATAATAAGTATCTTTGAGTGTGCATAATCAAGTATTGGCATCTTGTCTTGTTGTGTTGAAAAGATTAGGGATGTGGCTTAAGACATGTGGTTTTTGAGTTCAAATCATGAATTACTCCTGTAAGCTACTATTTATAGAGCTTTGAAGTAGCATAATTATTTAATTTTATGTAGAATTTTTATTTATCTTGTAGAGATGTGCATTAATAAACCAAACAGTATGACTTATGATTGTAATATAATTTATAAAATCTTGAAATACTACAGCTAATACTTGGTTATTGACAGCAACAAACAACATTCGTATCTTTAGTAATATCAGCAACAACATGAAGTGCTTCTCTGTATCTTGGTTGGAGTTTGGAGCTTTACTTTATGAAATTAAGAAACAGATTTTGAGTATTATAACAGATTAAAACTGATGTTGTTGTTTTTTGCTTGACTGCACATATTTGAATGCATTTTCCCTCACTGAGTCAGTGGTTGTTCATTATAGCCTCAACTTGTAATTGATAATGATGGTCACGCGTACAGGGTGGGCAAAAAGTTTGGGCATCCCCCTTATTTAAATGTCATGTGATAATTTGTTGTGTGGCTTCACCAAACAGATTGTGGCAAAGGAACAACATGAAAAAACTGATGCTTTGAAACAAAAAATTGTTGAAAGTTTCACCAAAGTCATGCCTAATATGCTAAGGAAGATGTCACATCGCACATGGAGACATATCATTCTAAGTCATGAAAATGAAGGCCAACAGACAAACATTTTGGATTATTAATCAATCCTTTTGTTACACTATGTCAGTATGAGATATGTAAATATGTCAATATGCAATAAATTCTTTCTTTCATGCACACTATTTTTATTTGAGGGGAGGGGGGGTACCTAGACTTTTTGCCCACCCTGTAGAACTAAATAGAGAACATATAGAGTGATTGTGCATGTGTTTTTAAGGGATTTCAGCTTACTTCAGTGCCATTTATTTTTATTTTATTTGAATTAATTTTTCCATATACAATGGCACTAAAAAAATAACCATTCAAATTAATTAGAAAATTCTAAAAATTTAAGATGTATTCACATTCATTTATAAACCGTATTCACAGTTTGATTTTGTTAGGTTCAATAATTTCTGAATATTTTGTGAAGTTGTAAAGGCAAACAGAATCTGTCTTGTTGGAAGGCAAAGGATTAATATACATTTTTATGTACTTGCTTTTTCTTGCTTTTTTTTAATTAAACAAAAGTTGCTTTTCTTATTTAACTTTTTATTTATACTTTGCATTAATTAAAAGATAAACTTTATTTCTTAACTTCTTTTTTTATTGTTTTATTTGCTTCTGTTCATTTGGTTTTGTGTGGTTTTTTCTTCTTTTTTCTGTTCTTTCAAAGTCAAAGCTCCATTTCCTGACAGTAAACCTGTAGCCAAGCCTGATTCTGAGCCTGGCCAACTTTCTTCCTTCATTCGAGGTGGGTACTTTTCTCACTGAGGAAAGACAAAACCATTAAGTTAGTCTCATTTGTCTTTTGTTTTTCCTATGCACCTATCTCATGAAGTGACTTTATTATTACCCAGTAGTATCATGTTTTTTTTCAAATATATATAATGCATTGATTATCAAATTGCTTCAGAAAAGATGCATAGAAAGCTTGCTCTTGAATCCAATATTGATCTTGCATCTAAGGTAGAAGAATTTTATTTATATATTATTAAGAATTAAGCATCATTGCAATTCCACATGTTTCCTGATTTCCACTTAATAGGTAGTTACTAATGCCACTGTTTCCCTGAAATGTCTTTTTTTCTGTCTCTTTAGCTATAAGGATTAATAATGTTGGTCCTGTTGATCGTAAGTAATACATTTCCTTCTTCATAAATCTTTTTCTTTAGCACATGTTATATACTTATATTCACTATATAGATGTGCCAGTATGAAATATGAAAATTGTCCAATTACTGATTAATTAGTTGCCAATAATTGGCCAATTATTTTTCGAATATTTTGTATTATTATTATCTAACCCATTTATGAACAGATTTGAGACAACTTATGATGCAGAGCATCCACAACCCTCTTACATTTGATTCTGGATAAATTCTGCCCAACCCTGCTTCTAGCAGGTTGGTGATTTAACATGAAACATAGGCAAAATAACTGCAAAAGAAAAATTCGACAATGACAGTATCCAGCTGTTCAGTACTGTCATAGAAATGTATTTCCTTGAATGCAAATAATGCCTTTTTTTTTTTTAGCAAAATGCTCTTTAGGTCTTGCAATTCACAGATCAATTGCTGTTCTCAGTCATCCAAAATCTGACACATAATGTATAGAGATGAATACAAAATACCATGTTTATTAGTTAGAATTAAAGTGTATAGTGTTTTGGAACTTTGATGTAAATATTCCAATAGTTTTCCCACTTTTATGATGTTTCACACAGGAAGAGAGAGATCTTCAGGTCCTGAAATTCACGGATACACAACACTGTTCTCAGCTATTTTCAAGCTCTTGCACATAATATGTAGAGATGACTACACAATATCATATATATTAGTCTTGGCACTTTCATGATGTCTCACAGAGAAAGAAAAGTTAATTCCAGCATGCAGCTTATATGGTGAATTTGATACTGTTTTTCTTTTAGAATGTGTGTTGTGAAAACAAGAAACACTTGCATTCCATGATAAGTATGGGAACAAGTGTCAACTTGTAAGCTGAGTGCTCTTTTTCTCTGAGACACTATCTGATTGAGGATGGCAGGTGTGGATTCTATTTTAATATAATGTGTGGGTACATAACAATGAAAGATATCAAATATGAGTGGAAACTTGTCTAATTCTGTAAAAACAGATAGTGTATTGTTCAAAGCAGAAACTTGTGTAATATTTATCTCATTAGTTTTTGTTGATAGAAATGTTTCACTGTATATCTTATTTTACATCTTAAGATCATAAGACAGACAAGTAGGGTAGTGGCAGACTAAGGATATCCTCAAATCTACAGTCTCAGGTGATAGCATCAACTTAGTATTTATAGTTGTAGAAGAAACTTATTATATCACAGTGCATATCATTTGCTATGTGATGAGTTCTACTGCTATCGATATACAGCTCTATCAAAGGTGGAAGCTATCAATCGAAACTTAGATTTGAAAATTTTATGAATGTTAGTAAGCTATATAAAAAACACTCAAGCAAATACACTTAGAAACTCTAGTGGCTATTTTGAGAAAGTGTGGAAAAGTTTTTCTGTGACTTGTAGTACTGATATGTGAAACAATAACCAGAAACTAAGGAAACATAAAAATTTTTATTATTTGTCAATTCATTTTCACATTTTGACCATTAAAAGGGCTAATCAGTATGTCATTAATCATATTTAGATAGTATCAGCTGTTTCTCATCAATCAGTTTTTATGACCAGGAAGCTGATTTCCAATTACTAAGCCACTTAACTGTCAAATATCTAGCTAAAACTGAACACACCAAATCTCTTTTTGATCATATACAAAATCTTCAATATAGACCTTGAGCAAAAAAAATCCTTGGTAAAGATGAGTAGTAAAATTTTTATTAGCTTAGATCAAGCTGATTTTCCATACACAGTTTTAAAGGAGTAATTAGATTCCTAATAAGAAAAGTTTGTTCAATTTCATTAGAGATTCATATACTTAGATTCCCCCTCCCCCCATGACTAAATGAAGTCTTCAAAAGAATAGTTTACATTTCTTAACTTATTTATTACAAAATATCTGCTGTTTATAAGACCATAATCAAGAAATGAATTTATCTGATGAAGTGCATGAGAAACTGAAGAGAAAAGCTTTATGGTTTAAAACAGCAAACAGAAAATTTTCATAAAAATTATAAATAAATCACTTTACAAAACATTTAGTACAATGAAACTACATTGCTCCTTGCCAAAGTAAGTAGATAGAAAACAATAATAATAATAGTTATGTTTTAATGACTTTAAACTAAAACCAAAATTTCATTTTTTTATTCTTTAACAATGAATTTGTTTGCATCTAATGTAGTCATTTTAAAAATTCCATATATATGCATGATCCTTAAAATGTATAATCACTAAATGTAGCTTTAGCAGCATTGGGGCACACACACACACACACATATGTTAGTCTCTTTTGTATGAATACAACTTTAGCAACCTTTACATACACAGATACCAAATGTGCATTGTGTCAATCCATTGTACTGACCTCATATTGCAGAAGGAATGTTGACTATAATTTTGAACTTACTATGTGTATCTATGCAAAATATGGCAAGCTTTTAGTACAATGTACAAATGCATTGTACAAAAAAATAAGATATATTACAAAAGTATTTGTACATAAAAATATGTGTGTGAATTAATGACATCAAGGTGAGTGCAAGGTGATATTCATATGAAAAATAAAAATACTTTTGTCCATTGTATAGCTTGTGTTATTGAATTTGCATAACCGCTAGAACCTCTGAAATGTATATACAAACACACACTCACAGTTTTTCTGTATGCCTGTATGTTGTATCTGGTATTTGCTCTCCTCTACCACAAATTGTTGCTAAATCAGCAATGCCTTTCAACATAGTATTATGTACTTAATGTCAGCATTGTCAACTAAATACATAATACTGTGTTGAAAGGCACTATAAAAAATCATGCATATATACTTTGATCCCCAACTATGCAAATAGGGTTAACCTTTTTTCATATTAATACAGCTTTAGCAGCCTTCAAACACATACACACATCTGTTAACCTTTTCTTATATTAATTCAGCTTTAGCAACCTTCAAGTATATACACACATCTGATAATGTTTTTATATTAATACAGCTTTAACACCCTTTTAAATATGATAACCTTTTTTGTGCATGAATGCAGAATTTTTCATCTTTATACACCTGTCATAGACAAGTATGATAGCCTTTCACATGTGCATGTCTCTCATTAACAACTTTCAAAACTTTCTTGTATACAGAATTCGTCTGTAGCAGGATGTATTCAAGGAAATAAACCTGATAACCCTCTTTATACAACTGTCATACAACTGGATCCTGTATTTAACATCTCACCCTGTTTTGTTTAAAATGATAGAAGTTATTTTCTTCTTAAGATAAAGCTTAGCTGTGTTTAATGTACTAAAATATTAACCAGTCTTGTAGTCCAGTAATTTGTAATTATGCTAGCATTATTCTTATCTAAAATTTCAAACCTTTTTGTGTGTAGCATATTTATAAAAACATTTTAGAATGATACAAAGGGAAAATGTACTTGTAATATGTCAACTGATTGTTGCTTACATTTTATATAATATATATATTAGGAAACAGGATAAATATAGCTATGAAAATAATTACTTCAAAGGAACAACTTTAATTATTCCTTTAAAGTACCTTACTACGTATTATTTTTACCATAAATTATCTGTCTTTTTTTTTTTTTACAGCACGCAAGTCAGAAATCATAAAAATTACAGAGCAGCTTATAGAGGCTATAAACAATGGGGATTTCGAAAGTTACACGTAAGGAATAGAACATGTTTAGTAATAAAGGATAATATTATTTACATATTTTGATTTTATGTCATGTAATTATCATACTTAGTTCCTCTTCTGAAATGTATGCTGAGATCAATTAATGAATATAAGTTTTGTTTTGAGTTCATGTATGCTCTCAGTTCCAAAGATATTAGGAAGTTTTTTAATTTTGTATGTTAACTTTTTAATAGGTACATTTGAAGTCTAGTAAGCTTTTACGAGAATAAATATGAAATAATTTTGAGGAAAAATCCAATATACCTAACATACATTTACCATGAAACTGATTAAAAGATTATGAACATTACTGACATATATATCCAAACTGAAACTATTTTTCAGCTAGTATTTTTTTTTTAATTATAACATTGGAATATCTGATACCTTTTGGTTTTCAAACAGGTTTCAAATCAGTTTGAAAAATATTTAATAAAATTTGATCTTATGAAAGCATTAAAATCTTTAACTTTTCTTTTGCAGAAAATATTGTGATTCCCAAATAACAGCTTTTGAACCTGAAGCCCTGGGAAATTTGGTTGAAGGAATAGACTTTCATAAATTTTACTTTGATAATGGTAAATTATTACATCTTATTATTTTCTATACTAATTTAAACATTCTTTCTGTATTACAAAAAGGTTTGCAAATTAACTTTATATATATATTTTTGTTAATTTTATGGTGACATTTATTCCAATTTTTACATTGAGAAATGCTTTTTTTTTATTATGATAACTTATTTCTGTACTTTATCATCAAAATTCATTTAAAATACATTCATAGCATAAAATAAATTAGTAATGTTTTTGAAAATTGGTATCAAAAATATAAAAACTGGTAACTTCTTAAAGTTGTAACATGGTAATACATAAAGATTTAATTATTAGCTCAGAAGTGCAACCATTTTAATAAGTACAAATATTCATATGATAGTAGAGAGATGAATTACCAGTTTTTCAAAATAAAAATCAATATTGTCTTTCTGGTTGACATATAGATCTCATAATTATTCACCAAAGTTTCCATGTTACATTTTAACATCAGCTTGACCTTCATATTATGGATAATTGTTAAAAAGTTTTGTAAAAAAGAAAATATTGCATATCTACAGTCACATCAGTCTTTCTAAAATTAGTTCAAATCAAATAGTAATATAAGCTCATTCTTCGTTGTTCTGTTGATAAGATAATAGGATGGGAAAATACTTAGGAAAAAGTGTAATGGAAGTAAAACTCAGAAAAAGATAAGAATAAAGTCTTTTTGTGGTGTGACATTCTATACGTTCAAAATTATGTTTAAATGTAGTATTTAAAGCATAACCAATATGTTCATAATTTTATTGGGTGAACTATTATAAAGTAAATGGTTGATATTAACTTTTAATTACTTTTAAGAACTGATGAAAAGTTAGTGTTTTGTGTGGTTTGGAAATAGTGGTACAAAATCAATTTGCTTTGTGTGATGACAAACAGTACATATATGAATATTGTATAAAGTATTGTTGCATTGGTGTTCAGGATAGGCACAGAGGTTCTTTCCCTTTGTTTTCAAACATAACTTAATTACTAAATACACCTTATCTAATTGGAGCTATGACATTCTAAAGATCATTCTGATCAAAATAATTTCAAATTTTTTACATCTTTTTATTAGTTTAGGAATTCATGTAAAACTTGCTGAAATATTTTGTATATATATATATATTTACTTTTCAAATTTGTCTTTTGGTTTATAAGTTTGAAAGTTATATATTACAGCTCAGTTTCTTTAGTAGTGAATTTACTATTTTTTGGAAATCTTTTGCTGCAAGTCTATATCATTGTTTGTTTTTTGTACTTTAACTTAGTAGAGGGACCTTTTACATGAATTTCACATGTTCCTTGATCTAGCTGAGATCATCAATTTATTAATGTCATTTAACCAGAGTAGGACTTGATTTGTCTTGATGTCATATTACCATATTGAGAGAATTGTTACCTTTATGTATTAACCATTCACAGTGGTTGGGATGTATATTTCCCAGTGCTCCCACCCCCTCACACTGCAACTGGGACAAATGTTTCCCATTGTCGATGCTGTTTATGCCTTTCTCTGCTAGGTCCAGGTTCATCATCACACATTTAAACACCACTTGTCTCACATTTGAACATCACTTGTCTCACTTTCACTATCTTATAAGCTTTGTGATTCAAGCACATCAAGCATATTTACATAGTAATTAGGGTTACTACTTGCCACTCTAGCAATGTGGGCACGGTTAGCACGTTGGTTATTGAAGGGCTGAGTGGAAAACATTGAGCGAAACCATATATATCAACATTAGGTGGGATGCCAATAAATACTTTCCAACTCATTTTACTCCCACACAGCAATGTTGAATAACAATGGGAAGTATTTATCCCAGTCACAATGTGAGGGGATTGAAGCACTGGGAAATATACATCTCAGCCACAGTAAAAGGGTTAATTGGGAAGTATTTTCCAATTCAACTGTCTTGATAAGAACCATTTATTTCAAGTTTTAGGGAAAAATAGCAAGCTCCTGAATACAACAGTCCTCAATCCTACAGTGCATCTACTTGGTGAAGATTCTGCCTGTATTGCATACAAACTTCTTACACAGTGTGTGAATAAGTAAGTGGATAATAATATACTTTATATTGAAACCCTTAATTCCAACTGATACTTTTATGTAAAATTTAAAATAACTCATTTTTCTTTATCCATAGGCACTATCAGAAGATATTTTTTAACCCAGTCTTTATACATTAATTCAAAATGGTGAATCTTGAAATGGGTTATAGATCAGCATAAAAGTAAAAATTATTCTGAATATATGCTATTGAGATAACAATTTTTAGACTAGCAAGTCCATAAATTTGAATTATACTTTTGTTTCAAAAATCAAAATTGAATCAAACTAGGTAATATTACATACAACTATATTTAGTTCAGTGTTTGTTGTAATTGTACACACTAGAATCCTGAAGTCGTTATTTCTTTTGCTTATAGTTTACATATTCAAATATCTATTTTTACCTTTTCTATAAACACTGTTTACTATTCTTTACTTAAACCAACACCAAAGATACGTTTTTTGTGTCCATGAATTATCTTCAAACATTCATCAAATTTGTATGGTCATTGATATCCAAATAATTTACAAAGAACAATAAAAACATTTCTGAGAATTGTCAATAATTGGGCATTTCAAAAGCTGACAGAGAAAGTTTTGACAACTGGTCCATAGAGAAACTAGGTAAAGAAAATTTGTTATTTTTTCTTTTCCCTACTGATTTTCTTCTCAATAATGCCAATCTATGTCACTTCATCTAATTGGTACCAAGATATGTACATTACACACTCATAACAGAAAAAAAAAATCTCATTCCTTATTATAACTCATGTTCATAAACTATTGCTGATGAAATACAACTGAATGTACAAGTAAGTTTAGTTGTCAACAAATTTTGGGCAATTTCAAATTAACCTTTTCTTTGGAAACTGAATAACTGACATGATGTGCTTAATCATCACTTAGTTTTTTTTATATATATTACTAGCTAAGATATAATCACTTAGTCATTGTTCATGAAAGTTGATGATATAAATAGCACCTGATCCAGCTAACCTGTTAAGCCCTGGTATTTGGTGAAAGACCTTGTTACAGACATAGTTTGTTTGACATATTCTTCTTAGAACTTTGAAGTAATCTATATACATTTTAAGTACAATCCATTTGATTTTATAGCTAGAAAGATATGCTATCATTTACTTTATTTAACTAGTAACAAATAGTTCAATATTATAGAATTTAAGTTTGTCTTGTACAGACAAAATTCCCATTTTAGTTGTATGTTTCATATTTAATTTCTATACTAAGTAATTAAATGAAGTACCCTGTTATTTAAAACTTATTTATAATCAGATACACATAGTATAGTAACTATGGTACAATGTTTCATCAGGTTAACATGGCATCATCAAATATAACTACGGTGTGTAATCTCAAAAAATAGGTAACATCAGAAACTAGCTGATGTATTAATGTACCAATGTATCCATCCACTAGTTTTTGTGTTACTTAGGTTATTAGTTCATTCATTGTAGTTGTTATAACTGATGATGCCAGGTTAACCTCGTGAAATGTTGTAACAATACATATTATACCCTGTAGAGTTGATAATAAATAAGTTTTTAATTTATATGCTATTAAGTTTCACATGGAATAAAATAACATGCCATATATTAATTCCTGTTCTTTTAACTCGCTTTATGTACTGTTGCCTTGAACTTTTATATTATACATATATTATTGAAAATTATTTCATTTCTGCTTTTATTAAAAAAAATGGAGTATGACCTCATTACCTAGCAGGACAAAAATTTTTGAATCACACATTATCAGTGTGAAAACCATTAGGTAATGGTCCATAAAATAACTAGACTTTCCATTATTCAACAAAAAATCACTAAATTTCATGTTGATGCAAGCTTTATATTGAAAGCTACTTAGTATACAAATGACTTTTCAACTAGGAACAGATTATGATTTGTTTAATTTAAACCAAAAAAATGTTTTGATAACTAGGTCATACCCTACAGTTAAACAGTTTATCGTACTTTTTTTTTGAAGATTAGTGAAGCATATCATTAGCCCATCTAGGTTAAATGACTGTTGGAAACACCATAAAATGGAATTTTACATTTGTTAAGGTTGGGCAGGTGTTTATTATAATTTTTATTTTGTTTCGTTATTTATTTACACACACACACATATACTATTCTATACTCTTTTATAGTCTAGTTTGATTTATTATTCATGTCTTTCTCTACTGATTAGATTTTTAAAACTATTAGATGAAGCATTTTGACTGTAGCTGACATCACCCCAAAACATTTACCAAGTTAGAATTTTCATTTTTCCAGTAATGCTTTTAATTTTGCTCATTATGAATTCTGAAGTCACCAACCCTAACTCTTATGCAAAGTTTCTACCAGTATCAGAAATTTTTCAGTTCTTAATATGCATGTACATCTAATAGCTGCACTATCATTTCTTATTGATCAATGTATTTGGGCCACTAATGCCCAAATTGCCTTGGATGACAAAGGTAGTTACAGTGTGCCTATTTTAATTTCCCCACTAATCCATCATCCTATCATTTTCTTTGTATTTGCCATTGGGGGTATTATTTCAACAGTTCACTACCCTTCCCTTGGCTTCTGCTCCATATGTTTTCTGTCATGTTATCAAAGTATTTGCTAGTCCTATCTATTTACTCAACACTGACTTTTCAGTTTCTTACATATGCTCAGTTGACCACCCAGCTGGTTAGATCTTTTGAGTAGATCATCCATAACTGCAAATGCCATTTAGTACCAACATAATCTTTGGTACATCTAAGGTTTTTGGATCTGCATAGTTCAAGAAATACTTTAGCTTTCTCATATGGAGTTGCAAGCACCTTGAAGCCTCATGTACTTACTTTTCTGTCTTCCACACGTACCACCAAAGGCATCTTTTCTGCTTTGGGAATGATGACTTTACTTCATAAAGTTAATCTTTTGGGGAGCAATCACTTGCAACACTTCTAACAGAGCCTTGCTTTTCAGTGGCATCTGACTTCAGACCCATTGTTTTGCATATGATTATTTCTTCCATTATTTTAGTTTCTCTAAATTTGATTTAATTAAGAGTTCATGGCAGCAAGATCTTTTCTTCCCATCTTATAGATCTCCAAACAGGTTAAGACAGGAGCACTGTATTGGGGAATCAACATTGTTCGAGTTCATGGACTCCTCAGAAATCAACAACTCATATTAATATGTTAGAACTTTAGCCTATTCAATGTGATTGTCTCAAGTTTCTTCCCCTTCTATCTCACCATTCTGTTTTGGTTCACACAAAAAATTCTAAAGTGGTAGCTTATATCAACAAGCAGGCCAATACTCGTTCTTTAGCTTTTGTTTTACTGCAGCTTCTTTACTTCTATAATTTCATTTTCAACATGTTTACCTTTTGCGTTTGTCATTTTTTGAGTATGATGAACATTTTGGCATCTCCTCATGGAGTGGACTCTCTACCTTTTGGCTTTTCAATGGCAATGCTGGGTTGTCTGATGATTGATGCTACATTAAAAAAAATCTTCTACTTTATTAATCTCCAGTTGCAGATCCAAATGCTCTGGGAGTAAACACCCTGAGTCAGTCTTGAGAGAACCTCTTCTTTTTATGCCTACCTCCTATCCAGTTATTTATCTATCTGAGAAGCCATGTTCGCACCCCTACTTGTCTATCAATCTCATTGGGCTACATTCCAGAGTTGATACATTTGACATATAATATCTTGTTTTTCTCCAACACCTTAACAACTTGCTTATATCTTTATATTTTTTGTTTCATGATTTTGGCTTCTTAGATTCTTTCATAACTGTCTGCCACCTTCAGATGCCATCAATCTTTTTTATTTCCATTGTTCATTGGCCTCTTCCAAGCCTATCATCATCAGTGACACCAAGTTCCTAGACAATTGTCAGGAATGGGACTTGGCTTTAGTCTTCAATTTCTTGGTTTCTCCTTCTTTTGAACCCTTAGTGACTTGTTCACTTAATCATCTTTATCTCAAATCATGTATTTTCTTATTACTTGCATCACAGTCTTATATCTATGCCCTTGATGCTTCATGTCCTTTATTTTCTCAGAAGACTTTTTACTTACTAGGCAGGTGGTAGCACTGCCTATGTTGGGATGGCTCGGATTGTTAATTGAAATGGTATTTTAAATATCTCCTTAATAGGTCATCAGAACTTTACAATGCTATACAGTGTTTTATTTTATAATAATATCTATATAAAGACTGAGTCGCAAGTTCTGGGAATGTCTTTAAATATCATAGCAAAAAGTTTGAATATCTTGTTCTTTCTTCTGCTTCTTTTTTTATTACATGATGACTCAAAAACCAAAACAATGGTGTCAACCAAGTTCACTGAGATGACACAGTTTTGAATGGAGTATCTTCTTTTATAAGTATTATTAACTAGTAATAATTTTTTTAAAAAATCATAATTCTAGCGTAAACGATGTTATCATTACTCCCTGAAGTTAGCTTTTTTTACAGAAATTTGGTGTTCCTTTAAAAAGCTTAAGTACATGGTGAAACAGGAAATACCAGCCAATAATAGATAAACAATAAATATTGCTATTGGAACTTCATTGATTTTGAACTTCGTTATAAATGCAACCTTCCTAAGTCTGTTGAAACACTACACTAAAAAAACAGGCAAACAAGAAAAACTTTCAAAAAAGGAAGTAAATGTAGGGATGACTAATATCAATCCTTCAAAAACAATGCAAACTAAACACTATGGATAACATTTGCAAATTGAGTCTTCATACCCAAACCTGTAGTACTAACTTCACTGGCTAATCTGATTATAGTTAGGGCTATTCATTGTTATCTCCCAGATATTGAATCTTTGAGATGTCTTATAAAAGGCTGTTTATACCTTACAATGAATTACACTCCTCAGATTTTGCTTTGGCAGCATTACAAATTGGCTTATGAAATTGATTCTCCCTGTTTACTGTGATGTTCCCAAACATCATAAAAGTGAATTTTTGGTTACACATCACCAAACTGCTATCATTTCAGCTCCTGGATTCCATTTGTTTCTTGTTATGATTATTCAAGTCAGGTGGAATCTTTAGCAGGTGTGTTCATATCTGTTAAATCCTTAGTTACCACTTGGGTCCAAATATATGTTGTGCATGGTAACCCAGGTATAACTATGCTTCCAAACATCCTTTTAAACTTTACAAGGGTATCTGGGGTTGAGGAGTCATTCAATTAAAAAAATAATCACAGCCTCCCCTTTATGATATAAGATTCTGTATTTGATTAGATTTGACCATGTTACATATACTCTTGTAATTGTCCTAGACAAAATTGCACTTTCTGTGCTAGTTCTTTATAAGAGGACGATACCCTTTGGAAGTACACAGAGAATGACATCTGATGGTTGATGGTAGCTCGATGGGTACCTTTACTACCACTTAAGCACATTCTAGCATGGCAATCAAAACTTTGGAGATGAGATGACCATTTTCCATAGAATGTCTCATAGCTTCAGGATTGGGAACACTTTACAGCAATATTTTTATATTTTCTTAACTTATTTTGGTGTTACCATTGCACTGTCTTAGAGCTATCGAGCCCATCCTCACTGACTAGACTGGTTTTGTGACTTTGCCAGCCTTCTCAGATGAAAATGTAAGGAGCCTTAATCCCAGAAGCATGTCCAGTCATTAGTTATTACTTGTCTCCTTCTTTGAGAATCTTCCACTATAAATACAGGTGCACTACACTCTGACCCTGAATATCTGTTATGCCACTATCTGTGAATGTGCATGGCTTCACAGGTACTTACATGCTGTCTTATTCCCCTTTTGTATATTATTTAAAGGTAGTCTAGGGTAATGATGTACCCTGCTGAGAATAATGTACCCCCCCCCCTTTTTTATTGTCCTAATTTTGGTCAAATCTCTTTTGATGCTGGTCCACTCCACTCAATTCTCCCATTATTCCAGTCCATTGACTTTTCCTCTTGATATCGATTATATTAAAACTCTGCTTGATTGCATCTTTCACTTGCTGTAGTACCTGTCTAGTTTGTTATATTTCTGCTTAAGAATCCACTTTTTTGTGAACCATTGTGGTTTCTTTCTCTATCTCAGTGTGAGTATTCTGACTTTTAGTACTTCAGAGATAGGTATACTTGATTTGAATTTTACATTTTTGAAATTAAATTAAATTTCAAACAAGTACTTATCTCTGAATTACATTCCCACCTACCTCTTCACAACTGAGAGGTATGTGATTTTACAATATAACTGCTACTAAGAAATCTGAACAGACTCAGTAAGTCAAGTGGGAGAGTGGAGAACTCTGGGTGAGTTTACATATGCTCTGCATTGTGTCAAGAACACTCAAAACCTAAAGTCACGTGGTTGTTCACTACATCAGAACAAACTCTACAAAAAAGAGCATTTAGTATTTCAGAGGTATGTACCTGTTCAAAACTCATTGTAATTCTAAAAATGTAACATTTTATATTTTCAGGTTTAACATCCCATTTTTTATTAATGAATTGACTTAATAGTTCTTAAGTTGTGGAATTAAAAGTTCAATGTTTTTCTATTAATCTACAACATACACCTAAGTTTGTTTTCTCAAACAAAATTTTAATTTAATAACTTCTCAGAAACAGCATTAAAAAACAAATGATTAATATAATTTTTCTATAAAATAACAAAAAATTAAAAAGCATTCACTATAGATGATGTAAATCAAATGTGATACATATCTGTAGTTACAGGTACTTGTAGTTGTGAGTATATGACATAAGCATGAGTGTTACTTTCATAGAAGTAAAAGTTTAAAATCATTAACAGGTATAATTAAGCACAAAATTGGCAGTCATACAAAAAATTACAAAATTATTCATGTTTCATGACTGTCGTTGACTTTGAAAATTCCAAAATCCTTTCTAAGAAAATATATTGTGATGTTTTGTCTTTCATGTTTGGAATAGTTGTTTCTGGTATTTGTTACAGGTCTGGAATTGCTTATACCAAGCAAACTGAAGAAACCAGGGTTTGGCATAAAAAGGATGGAAAATGGCAAAATGTTCATTTTCACTGCTCGGGGGCAGCCTCATCTTCCTTTGCAACTGCCCATAAGTAAAGCTGTGTCAGGGTAGTTCTGCCAAATCTGTCAGCTTTGTGGACTAGCCTGTGGCCACTTTAACATGGCTGCATCTGGCCATCCACAGTTTAGCCTATGTTTTTTGAAGATATGTTGTGATTCAAGAAGTTTTTTCCCCACCTGCTCCTGCTCAGAGTTCTCTGCAGCACTGAGCCCTATGTATGACCTCTCAAGGAGTTGAGGTCATAGATCAAGAATTTAATGTCAGTGTAGAGGCAAGAGACCAGGCATTTGCTGAGAAATATAACTCTGAATCAGTTTTGCTTTAAATATTTCATAAAATCTCTTCTTTCTATAATCCTCATATTCTGGTAATCTTCAAGGCCAAAACTTTATTGATTGTACTTGCCTTTAATATTCTACACTGTTTTCATTAGCTGTTTTTATGAATTACTAAGGCTGCCTGGTTAAAATTTCTTAAAATTAAATGTTTTTGATCTGAAATTTCTCTAAGTCACTATGTAAAATATCTAAGATACAGCTTATTCAGGCTTCACTATTCTATTTCTGTGTATTTGTCATATATCAATGAAGTTTAAAAAGCTAAATAAATGTATTTCTTAAAGCTAGATTTGGTGAATAGAAACAATGAAATGTTAAAGTGGATTTAAAGCAGTTAAGCTTATGTATTGTGCTAAAAATCTATAAAGTATTATATATGTTTAAAAAATTGTTTTCAACAAAAGTCACAAAGTATACTTTCATTTCATATCATGACCATAGGTGCATTTTACCTGAGTAAGTATTGGAATTGTTCAAAGATCTTGGAACATGAGTATCAAATACCCCATTAAATAAATTCAGCCTTCTTGAGCATGATATGGGTTCAAAGGTTTTTGAACAGAAGTATTAAAGAAGACAGATAGTATTAAGTACAATCAACATTATCAGATATGATATGGATTCAAGAGCTTGACCTTTACGTATCACACAAGCTAGTTAGTACTAAGTACATTAAGCCTTATTAATCACAATAGGGGTTCAAGGATTTCTGAACACAAGTATTAAAAAATAAAAATAACAGTAGGTACAATCAACATTAAGTATGATATGGATTCAACATCTTTAAATTTAAGTATTAAACAAGTTAGTTAGTACTAAGGACATTAATCCTTATTAGTTATGATAGGGTTTGAGGATTTTTGAACACAAGTATTGAAGAAGACCAATAGTTTATGTACAGTCAACATTATTAAGTATGGTATAGATTCAAGATCTTTGAATTTAAGTATTAAACAAGTTAGTTAGTACTAAGGATATTAGTCCTTGTTAATTGTGATAGGAATTCAAGAATTTTGGAATACAATTATTAAACAAGTCAGATTGTTTATCTTTAAGCTGGTTAAGTATAATAAACCTTCATGAATTTTTAAGGGCATATTATATGTAAAGAACATTATATTAAGTATTTAAATGAAGTTTGTTAAACATTCATTGTGTAGAATACCTTGAAGATGTGTATTAAGCAAAACAGTTAGTACACACATTCAATCTTATTGAGTGTTATGACTGTTCAGGATGGTTTACCAGAGTTATTTAGCAAAATATTAAGTGAACATTTTACTAAGTCAAAATTAATCTAATTTGTACATGTTAACTTGTACATTCACATAAAGAACAAAAGTGCTTTCATTTTATTTAACAAAGATTATTATATTGGGAAATTTAGCAGTATTTTAAAGTATGTTATAGTTATATTTCTTCCCAGAAATTACTCTTGAAAATAACTTATATAATTTTCATTATAAGATTTTGTGAAAGTTATTTTTTCATAGTTTAAGTTAGTGAAAAAGACAGTTTTTTGATGTACAGATGTTTGAATGAAAAGTCTATCAGTGAGTGAAATTAAGTAAATGATTTTTTGAAAACGTATTTTGAAGATTTTGTTGTGTTTGTTTTGTATGCAAAAGGTAATTATATTCTTATTAAAAATTATATGACACTTTTCATTTGCAACTAGATTTTGCAGCACTTTTTAACATAAATAATCATTTATTTCCAAATAATCTTAAAGGGTGCTTGAACACACTTTCCTAGTTGTTGTTTTTTTCATATTCAATACTGTAACACAAATAATTTTTATGACATGACATAAGTTATTAACACAAGTTTGTTAATAAGCATATAATATGTTCAGAGGAAAATGAAGTTTTACAATAAAAATGATAATGATACTTCAGATAAACAACCTTGTTTATTTATAACAGAAGAGGACACAGATAGACATTTTGGAATTCTACAGACTCCATATTCAGTATCAAAAGCAAAATAAAAGACATCCTTTTTAAGTAAGTAACTAAAATACATTGCTGCAATAATGATAATGTAATCAAAACTAACTAAAACACATAGAATGTGAAGGAGTAACAAACAAAAATACTGTACATATTAAAAACTGTGCAATTTAAAAGAAGACTGCATGTTATTCAGTGTTGGTGAAAGTTGTTTGATGGGTAGAGTTTCTTTAATCAGTAATTCCAGATCAGTGTTTGCCTTGCAAAGGATGTTGAAATTTGATAAGTTAAGTTTATGTCCTGTTTCTTCACTATGTTGACATATAGAGGAAGCACAGGGGTTACTCAACTTTACCACAACTTACCATATACTCTTGTCTTCCTTACATTGGTAAACAAAGCTTAAGTTTAAAAAGTCAAATTAAATGCATAATTCATCATTACTATGCCCAAGTTGATTTCAAATTAGTTTTTAAACCCACATCATGCACACAGAGTTTTTTCCATACTAAAGACGTTCTCCCAATTTCTCTTTTTTCATGGCTTGTATATATATTTACACGTGTGGAGACTGTAGAACCTCCTATTTTGGTAAAACCAAATGCTATCTACTAGTTAGAACCAATGAACATATAGGAATTTCCAAGAAAAGTTGAGTAACCCCTGTGCTTCCTCTATATGCCAACATAGTGAAGAAAAGGACAAAAAGTTAACTTATCAAATTTCAATTTGAAAGGCAAACACTGATCTGGAATTACTGACTAAAGAAACTCTCCACATCAAACGACTTTAACCAACACTGAAAAACATGGTCTTCTTTTAAATTGCACATTTTTATTTTAATATGTACAGTATTTTTGTTTGTTACTCCATCACTTTCTATGTGTTTTAGTTTCAACTTAATTGTCGTTATTCCAGCAATGTTTTTAGTTATTTACTTAGAAGTGATGTAATTCTTTTATTTTGCTTTAGATACTGAATATGGAATCTGTAGAATACCAAAATGCTTATCTGTGTCCCCTTCTGTTTATCTTAAATATTGTTATCCCTTTTATTGCACATCTGATATGTTACTTGAAATTATTCAAGTAAATAAGTAACCAACATGGGTGGGAACAACAACAAGATTTGTTTGTTTTTCATGTTAGTGTTCTCTTTGCAAATAGAGCAATGAATAATCATATTCTGTGAACAGTGTTTCCTTTGTATTGGATATTTTTCATTTAAAAGAATCTTGAGAAGAATCCACATGAAAGTGGATTTTTATCATCATTCTGGTTATCTAAAAATTGTTAAACTTAAAGGATTATAAAAAATGCACTAAAAATATTGGCAGTGCTAAACAGTACATTCTGTCTGTTACCAAATTTTGACTGGGTTCTAAAAATAAGATGCAACTGCAAACCTAACTGTGTTGAAGTTGCTTTTTTTTATTCTAAGAAAATGTTATTGTCGAGCTCATATTTTTAACATCAAACTCTTCCTAAATTAAGAAATATCTTGTCAATAACTTGTTTATAGCTGCTAAATTTTACCAAAAATAAAAAAATTAAAAACTTGTGTACTGTACCAAAGCTCAAAATTAGATATAAAGTAATTGGTTTAATGTATTTAAAACACAACTTTTCTAAGTGTAGGAAGTCAATTGCATTTAAACCAGAATCTCAAGATAGAAATATATGTTGATTGTACCAAAACAACAACATAGATACAGAACTGTCAACTGTTCTAGAAACAAAATGTAAGTGTAGAAAGTTGCTTCGTTTTACCATATATAGAATGGTAGAATATTAAAACAAGAATTTCAAAATTAAAAGGTTTCATCATTGTCTGTTAACTAGAATTTATATATATAATAAATTTGGTTCAGGTTCATTAAAATGTAATTGCAAATATTTAGAGGATGGTTTGTTGAACTAAAATCACAATCTATTTAGAAAAAGGTTGTTTCTTAATATAAAAAACAAGTCTATATTTAGAAAGCATTATTTAATGAACCAAACTCAGAATCTAAATTTGGTTCACTG